TTGATGAGCCTGTGGTCTTGATGAGGCTGGTGGTCTTGATGAGCCTGGTGGTCTTGATGAGGCTGGTGGTCTTGATGAGCCTGTGGTCTTGATGAGGCTGGTGGTCTTGATAAGCCTGGTGGTCTTGATGAGGCTGTTGGTCTTGATGAGGCTGTGGTCACAAGTTCACATTATGATGACAGAAGATTAGTCACATTAATGCTTTCAGGCTTTTTCTTTCTTCATACTCTGAAATCACACTTTGTTCATTTTATTATTCGTGTGCTTGATGACAAAGATCTCAACTTGTTCACCTTGAGTGCACCAGACACAACCAGTGCTGACTGAAGAGTGAAGTTAGAGAATCTCAGACCAAAGGGTCAGAGGATGCTTTGCATTCCCACCTTTTGATCACACATATAGCTCATGTGAAACTTTTTTTCTTCTGCTCTATGAAACCAGCAATCAAACTGATCTTCCTCTGTTTTGGTGGATCAGAAAATAATGAAGTATTTAAAGTTGAACAAACATCATAACTGTGTTTCCTTCTCCTCACAAGATGTGGTCCAGAAACAGGTGTCACAAATCTATTTGGAGGTATGTTCAGTATATTATTTTCTACAAACATCCCATACATCACTGCAAACGGCAGATGTTTCTTCAGTTTTATTTCAGTTTACATGGACTGCAGCAGATTCTTTTCAATAAGTAAAACCATTGGGCTTTTCTCTTGGTCTTCATGCAGTTCAGACCTACAAATACTCAAACCAGTCACTCACTCAGCATTAGAGCAGATATTTCTTCAGGGTTGACACTAATCCATTGAGTTTGGCTCCATCGTGGTCCTAAGCTCCTCATCTAGCAGAGTCTGAACGATTTGAGCTTCCAAGACGGAAACGCTTCTCAGAGACTGACCAGAAATGATGTCAAGAGGGACCACTGTGAACTGATGAGGTCTGAGAGCTTTCATTTGTTGACAAAGTTCACTGGTCACTGAGTCCACATGTCATTATTTGACCCCTTAAACAAAGCACCAGAGCCACCTTGCTGTCATGTCCCACTTTAAGAGGAACTGGACCTGAGCAATCACAGGTCTGTTTCTGCTGTCAGAGCAATTCTATCGTTATATTTGA